ATCCACAGACACATTAATCGAACTGTCGACGACTTCCATCCACGGTTCCACACATTTTTCTGATGGTGTGAGGGTGTTGGGGAAGTCATTGGTGGGTGTGGAACCGTGGATGGAAGTCGTCGACAGTTCGATTAATGTGTCTGTGGATGTGGCTGAATGGAACCCGCGAATAGGAGGCTCTGTCCCTTGCATTGTGGATTTTGGCTTGGTTTTGCGTTTGGTTCGTGTTGATTTGTTTGTATTGAAAGATGGAGTTGATGTGGTGTTCGAATGGCGAGGAGGTTTGTTGTAATGCTGTTTGAGTGGCTGCGATGTTCCAGCGTTTATTCTACTGTACCTAATTTCAGGAGTATTTATAGAGCTGCAAGGAAACGTGTATTACCGCAGCTGAATGCGGTGAAAGCGAAAAATAGAGATATCGAAAGAGAAGTCAGTTAAATCAACATGTGTCAAATGTAGTCCGGATCTCTTGAGGTAAACCTATCGAACCTATGATAATTGTGGAAAGACGAAGAAATAAAACGTCTGCAGGTAATTGATGATTATTATTGGTGTTTGAAGTGAATTTACATTAATGTTAAGATTATTCTCTGGTGGTTGAGCGTTGGTTCCGTTTGGATTCATAGATCGGAGTTGGGGTTGGTTGCTCGAGGAGTTGCCTGTTTCTGGATGGAATGGTGAGTGGCCTCGTAGTAGTGAAGTTGATAGGCTTAATTATGTAGATGAGGGTGAGGATGCATGGAAAGAGATTTTCACGTATAAGAGACTGAAATTGATGTTTGACGTTCTATATCTCTGACTCTTGTGTATGCTTCGTAGTGCATTTGATGTATTGTGTATGATTATGATGCTGTTCGATTGAAGTGGTTCTAATGCTTATTGTATTGCGTCATCGTTTCTTTTTTCTTATTGCATGTTCGATTGATGGTATAAAATTGAGGCTTTTATATTCCTGCCCAAAAAGAGTAGGAAAAATTCAGTATTTTGTTTTCGAAGGTTACTAAATATACCTGCGCAAAAGATTTGAATTGTTTTTTTGTGTATGAAATTGTTTGTATCAATTTGTTTCACAATTGGGACACGAAAAAAATATCTGTCCTCCGCAGTCGAGGGTCAAGTGAGTCGGCACGACGAGCGCTACTTGTTTTATAGTTAATAGATTTATTTATACTTCAGGCAGATTTTTTTCAAAGCTTGATATCTGAAAGTGAATGTCTTCTTCTATAAGTTCATGCAGTATTTGATTCAATTGAACTTTTATATTAACACTTTTTAATCGTTAGATTTTTTATGATCTGGAGATGTCACTATATAAGAGGTTCATCAAAGAACAGAACACCGCTACTGTCATTCAGAGATTACTTTTTCCCTTACTTACGACACTTTTTCTGCACACTATGACACGTAATCTATTGTAAAACATGCTTTTTTCTTGTAATGTTCGATTCGAACCTTCCCCAACGAAGGGCACTGATGGCTGAGGGTGCCTATATACAAAAAAAAGTTTTCTTCATCTGCATCATTTGATTTACATTTCAGTGGTTCAAACGTTTCGATCGGTCCTACATCATTGGAATATACTCAATCAAAAAACACAATGATTCAATCGATTCAGGTATATAATTTTAAAAAATCCTACTCACTTCTTCGTTTTGCTATATATTAACTTCAAATGAAGATTTAACTACGACAAACAATGAAAGTGCCATCAAAATTTTTATAAAAGATCGGTGAAAGAAAAAAATACTACATTGGTAAGAAATTTTCGCGTTTTTTTCCGAATTTCCTACAACAGTCGAGAAAGTTCGATATTAAAAGTATATAAAGGAAGTATGAGTGTCTTCCGAATGATAACAAAATCAAGAATATGGACGTCGATCTCGAAGTAGAAATGAGTATATCTCGATGAGAGATAAGAGTGCTTCAGCTTCACGAATTCCGTTTGGGTCGTAGAGCAACGGAAGCAACGAGCAACATATGCAGCACGATGGGCAAGGATGCAGTGTCAGTTCATACAGCATAACATTGGTACCATCGGTTCAAAAACGGCAACTTCGGACTCGATGATTCACCTCATACCGGAAGACCACTGCGGGTGAATATGGATGGATTAAAGCAACTTATCGAAGGAGATCCTCGACTGATAACACGATGTTTATCAGAGCGACTCGGATGCTCCCATGTTACAATGGAAACACATCTCCATAAATTGGGCAAAATGTGGAAATATGGTGTTTGGATAACACGTGAGTTGACGCTTGTATGGAATTAATGACAGCTCATCGCAACTACCAATGGCTTCACAATCTTATTATTGGGGATAAGAAATGAGCATTATATATTAACCACACGCATAAGCGACAGTGGCTGGGAGCAGGAGAAACAGGTGTAGCAATGCCCAAAAGTGGCCTTCATCCAAAGAAGATTATGCTGAGTGTTTGGCGGGTTGTAAAATGAATTATTCATTGGGAACTCCTTCCGTCTACTTGCACAATCACTACTGATATCTACTGTCAGCAATTGCACCGAGTTGCACCAAAAATCCAGGGAAACAAGACAGTGTTTATTTTTACATGACAGTGCCCGACGCCACATTGCAAAATCAACGCGTGAAAAATTATTGAAGCTCGGATGGGTTACGGTTCTACATCCGCCCTATTCTCCAGACTTGGTTCCTACCAACTGCCACTTGTTTCATTCTTTGTCGAATTATTAACGCGAAAAAAATTCGACGACGAGAATGACCTAAAAATTGGATCTACTCAACTATTCTCGCCCAAAGTCCCAGGAGTTCTACGAACAAGCGATGCTTTCTTTACCACAGCGTTGGCGACAGGTCATAGACAATAATGGAGTATATATCATTGAAAGTTATATGTACTTTTTAAGTTAACAAATAAAAAGACAGTTTTCGAAAACAACGCCAAAAATTTCTTACCCACCTAATACAACTTTCTTTCATCTGTCGTTTTTTATTTACGAAGAAATGAATAATTTCTTTTACTAGCGAATCAGTTTCAGGCAGATTTTAAATTCATCCCATGCAGATTGCCCTCCAATTCTTGGTAGGCTTCAGAATTTACTAACTATCTCAGTTCATCAAGCAGAAGTCGATAATAAACAAGTAACGATTGTCCAAGACAGTCTGTGAAGTACTGAATTAATTATTTTTATAATCATGAAATCTTTCACGAGAATAACCTTGTAGACTATTCGCGAAAAAATTTATGTTCATTTGTTGATGATTTATATTAAAAGATTTTATTATAAAGAATAAGAAGAAACATCTTGAAAGTGTATGTGAGTACCAAAAGGCCAGAAATATTCACCGTCACGCTCAGCACAAAAAGCAATATTTATTACACCGATAAGCATAGTGTGAATTATCGAATAGGTACAACTACATTTGTTTGACAGCAATTTTGAATCTGAAATATAGTTTGAATTATCATCGGAACAATAAATCTCAAGGTAATAGTTAGTCCTCCGTATAAACCTAGAATTTTCGATACTGTGTAAATAACATATTCATCTCTTTGAATCTGATAAGAACACGATGTTGGAGAGCATTGACTGTAAAATGATGAATAAGACCTGTTAACCATCCATTCTTCCACGAACAACTCATCAGCGATGTCTTGAATCATTGTATTTCGCTTAAAACGACTGTTAATGGAAGAATCGATAGGCGACGCGTACATATGAGAAACATAGAATGCTGCTTTAAGATGATACAATAATGAATCTGTACAGTTTTGATCGTANTGATAAGAACACGATGTTGGAGAGCATTGACTGTAAAATGATGAATAAGACCTGTTAACCATCCATTCTTCCACGAACAACTCATCAGCGATGTCTTGAATCATTGTATTTCGCTTAAAACGACTGTTAATGGAAGAATCGATAGGCGACGCATGCATATGAGAAACATAGAATGCTGCTTTAAGATGATGCAATAAGGAATCTGTACAGTTTTGATCGTAAAAACATTCAAATGTTGAATGTAACACTGTTTCAACAACTGAGCATCCAATATTCCATCCAGGTATGAAAAATTTTATCGGAGGATTGCGACTATTAAAAAAAAGAATATTTGCTTATCTCTCATACATTCCGTGTCTGAAAGAAGACAAGCGCCTTCAATAGAGAATGGTGAAAGGCTTTGATGATTGAAATCTTATCCATAGATTACGACTAGCTGAAAGCTGGTTTCTATAATACTCGTGACTCTATGGGAAATATCAAGCTAATAGTCGAAAGTACGTATGTTTTATTGTTTGCGGAGGGTCTCGTGATGGAGAGTACTTACTAATATGTGTAAAATACTCCGCCTGGTTCTGTACAATCGCTTTGTGTTCCACAAGAGCATCCATTATCCATTATGATCGGGCGTGTAGGAATTGTATAAAAAGTACGTGTCAGATCTCGCCACCATTCCCAATTCAATAAATGACCAGATACAAAAGTATTTCCATTCATTATGTCACGTATAAGTTTAAAATTCCGAGAAAATTTCGCTGAAGTTGTATTTCGAAATTGTGAAAAAATGTTGTCGATTCGCATCTCAAAATCAGGTCTCGATATTAATCGAATGTTAATGAATGTATCATGAAGAAACTGATCGATTGCATCATGTATTGTTGTTTGAAATAGTTGACATAAAGAAGAAATAAACAAAAAATACGAATTACCTCGTATACGAATATCACGTCGATCCATGATATACACCGTATGATGCAGCAAAGAATCGCGCCATTCTTGTCCAATAAAATGACTTACACATATTGAATGAAATCTTGTCTCTATTTTCATAAAATATCTATATTCAATAGATACTTTCGAACACGGACAATCAAGTGAATCAGAATGAGATATTAAAATGTCATTATATTGATCTTCCGAAGGTTTTGGAATAGATCTAATTACCGTGATGTTTGAATAAACAATATGGATGGTTATAATGAAAATAGAAATTGAAAAGATGAAGCAGTAAAATCGTGTTGCTGTTCGTTCGCGATGAACAGTCTCGGCATCATTTGACCCACTATCGAATATATTTAACATCATTAATTTATCTTTAATCTGAGTGATTTGTTTGATAGCACCACCTCCAATTGTTTCNGAAGGTTTTGGAATAGATCTAATTACCGTGATGTTTGAATAAACAATATGGATGGTTATAATGAAAATAGAAATTGAAAAGATGAAGCAGTAAAATCGTGTTGCTGTTCGTTCGCGATGAATCATCTCAGCATCATTCGACTCACTATCGAATATATTGAATATCATTAATTTATCTTTTATCTGAATGATTTGTTTGATAGGACCACCTCCAATTGTTTCACTTTCTAAATAATCATAATCAGATTTCAATGACTGAGTTATGGCGAAAACCCTCACTACATCTAAAATATTTCTGTAAATCAAACGAAATAAAATCATCTATTGTAACACTCAGAAAAAAATTTCACTCTATAACAAAATATTCGATGGATTAGTCGCAGCAAAGCATTGAAGTTCCTTGAATTCATAATAAAATAGATTTGTGTGAAATAACTTACGATGATTTTCTTGCTGTATCATTGGAATTTGTGTTATTCTATTTCGTTTCACCTTAGCCATAAGCTTTAAAATAATTTTGATAATAATTGGAGAAATCATTCGAAGAATAATATTAATTCCACCAATAAGACTAACAATGAAAGTAATTATATAAATAATATTAATTTTTCTTTCATAAGTAACTGAACAAGATTTCGGCTGACACTTATGATAGAATTGTTCGTATGAATAAGAATAGTTCCAATCTTCAACCATCATTTCATCAAAGATTTTTTCTATCAAAGTATTAGAAGAATATCGACTAGGTAATTCTGAATCAAGTGGTTTCACAGAGACAAATTCCAGCATATTTGCAAGTATTCGTAATCGTGTTAAGCAGCTTTTCTTAAACAAGCATATCATTGATGATTTAAATACAGAATCGATAATAGTACAGCCACCGTAGATTCCTTCGAGTTGCCAATCGATGTCAGTCAACCAATTGTGTAAATTTATCTGGAAATTCACTGGACACGACCAATCACGAGTACAAAAACAATTTTGACCTTTCATATCATAAATATGTGGTGTATATACACCTATAATAACTTCATAGTGTCCAGTGCTGTTGCTTAGCACTTCTAAACGAAGATCAGCATTAACTCTCATATTACTAACATAATAATTACTATGCATTGAAACAGTAGTTAAAGACATTTTATAATGAAAATCAGCTCGTGTTGACATAATTAATTGGTTGATTAGTGAATTCATTGTGAAAACAAATGAATGATTTGATAGAAAATGTCTATTAACGAAATTTGTCGCCAAGAAGCGTTGACTTGCGCCATTGATCGTTTCATTTGCAAAGTTACAAAATGTTGCTAGTGTTTGAAAATATGACGAAGCCACTGATAGAAAATGAATTTGTCTTCGTGAGAAACTCATCGGAGGAAGACGTTCATACCATGATGACTGAATAAAGTCGCTTGAACATATTTGATGGAGTCTCACTTGAAACTCTGTAAAAGATCTATACGGTATCAAAAGTTGAGAACACGGACAAATCAATTTTGTCGAATATGTCTCGTACAATTTGGTATATTGTTTGAACGTTGGGTTGGAAAATGTTTCGTTGATTGTTTGATTCGATAAGTTAGAAAATAAAACTAACATCAATACGGAAAGTAACAATAAAATTATATATAGCCATGTAGATAAAACGCCATGATAGACACGAGTTCGATCACGAGAATGTCGATTATAGATGTTTATATTGACGAGACTTCTTTCGAGTTTTCGGAAAACCTTGCTCAAAAGACTTCGGCTAATTTCATCTAAAAGCATTCGTTTTAGTTAATAACATTTCATGTATTTGACATAGACGACGGAACCCATAGTATGCAGTAAACTCAAATCGATCTCAATCTGAGTCGATCTAGTGCAGAATAATACATCAAGTTCTTCTCAGACTCTTTTGAACAATAAAAGTCTCTGCTTTTTTTTTATGAATGACTATTCATTAAACAAAATTGTTATGCAGTGTACTGCTATTTGGTGATTCGATCTAACATTGAATATCTTGATAATTCGTTCAGAAAAAGTGGGATGTATTGAGTCTATCCTATAGAACAGATTCCTTCTGTCGTCTAAGTTCTTAAATATTACCTTGAGATTGTCTGACAGCTTGTGATCGTTTTGAACAAAATCGTTTTTGTAAAGATAACATTAATTGAATAAAATACGGAGTAATGAAACGTAATACTGCAGTTAGACCACCCAAAAGACCAAAAAGAGTGGTTAAAATGTAAATTGAATTAAAACGATGTCGCTGAATATAATGGCACAGACTTGGCTTGCACTGAAAGTAATATTTGTTATAGTTGATTTTAAAATGAACTTCTTCAATGAAAAGTTCGTTCAGAAGAAATTCGATTTTTGTCGTTTGATTAAAACGTGATGGGACAAACTGATTTAGAACTGTAACATTGATTTGCTTTAAATAAAACGAAAGAAGACGATTTAAACACGTTCGATTATAAAAACATTCCAATGTCGACAAGAATGTCGTTTGTATCGGTAAACAATCAACGATTAGACCAGGTAATGTTTCTTTCGATTGTATTTGATTTAAATCATAAACGCCAAGTTTTTGAGATATATTATAAAAATAAATACTGCCAGGTAATGGACATGATACATTATTCTTACATGAGCATGATTTTGTAGAATCCTTTTGTATGAAAATATTTTCAAAAACTCCAACATAAGTGGATATAGACATTGTCGGAAGATGGAATACATCAGCAAGTTGTTCCGTTGGTTGATATTCTTTTGTTATTGGAATCGAATTTGTTGATAATGCTGTCATCAATTGATTTGCATGCGCCATTTTATTAACAACTAATATTGATTGAACTAAATCTGATGAAATCATTTCAAGCAATGAATGTAATGCTGATTGAATTTTTGTTTCGAGGAAATCTTCAGTTAATAATATTGGATTGATTAGTGCGGATTCATTGAATTGCTTAAGTGTGTCGATCATTGTTGCTGCCGAGCGTTGACATAAGTTTCGAATTATTTGCCACATTGCGCTTAAACTTGTTCGTATATCAATGGGATAAATTGTAGTTGAGTCCACTTGAAATATAAAGTCAATCCATCGTTGAGATATGAAATCACTTGAACACACTTGATGAAACGATGCATTGATTTCCACAAAATATTTATAGAGAATTACATATTCAGTGCATGAACATTGTAAACTATCGGAATGTTTTTTTTGTAGATTTTTATATAAAGAATAATCTGGAAATGAGACAGTTTTAGTTTCATGCCGATTTGTAATTGATATATAAGTTGTCACAATAATAAAAAATGTCAAAAGAAGAATGATATAGAGACGAGTTGATAAGATTTCTCGGTGACGTATTGATGGGTCAGATGATTGTGAATCAAATAGGTTCAATTGAACCCATTTATCACGGACATTCTTATATAGTAATCTGATACGCATTATTACTTTCAGATGATGAATTCAAGTCCTCAATCTTACATTGTGAAAATAGTTAAGAGAAAACTACGCATTTAAAGCAGTTGGTATATGTTTTAACATTAACGTCAAACAAAACTGTTCAAATAAAACATTAACAGATGTAACGTCTTTTTTTTGTCACAGTTCGAAACCTTTTGATAAAGAAAAACCTATTCGAAGCTTTGTTTGATAGGCTAAGTTGTTTAATCGATGCTAAAAAGTCGTATCTTTTAGTCAGAAATTCAAAACTTTTCTATGAAGTTTCCTCTCTGTTTCTTCGAAAATAACTGAGATTTCAAGTGCACTTTTTCCCTCAAAGAAAAAATCCTGACTTTCAATGTTGTCCTTGAGTTATCATAATATAAAATATTGATTGAAACACTTTAAATTCAACATTTTGATCATGCTTTGTCTTCACAGAACAGAGGAAGTTACAATCTGTCATGTAATTTATGATATTAATATTAGATTTGCTAGAGAAGATTTCTATTGTATTTATAAACGATCATGCGGTTCAATGACATTTTATAACAACAGAAATTATCCGTAGTATTTGAAAAGTGAATACACTTCTTCAACTAGCCAGATTGTTTATCCATTTACACGGTAGGTCTTAAAAGATCAGTTGAATTCTTTGCACAGTTTGTTTTTATCAATATCTCGGTCGAGTCATTAATTGATTTTCCCTATTTTTCTCCGTAAATTTTTCTAATACATATAATAATAGTTTGATACGATGGATATGGATAGAAATCAAAAGGAAGCACTGTATGTATATCATAAATCGCAGTAACAATTAGAAAAAACAAATTGATTATTTTTTTATCTAGAAATGGATATAATCGGTCACAAAAAAGAATCTGTTTAGTATTTACTACTGTTGCCATTGCCTTAATCGTATCAATTGTTGCAATACTTCTGATCCCTGTAATGAAGAATGCTATGAATGTTACTACGTGGACAGTGACCACAGCAACGACAGAAATATCGTTCATAATAACAACGACACAAACGAAAGGTATAGATGTTTTTTTACTTTCAATTTGGTTGCACTGTTAACTGCGCAGAAAAAATCTAGATAAATTGCGTATTGAAACCAGAGATTAAATCTTATTGTTATGTTAGTAGTTTATTTGAATGTAAAATATTTGCTTTTGTTTAAGTGCGAGTTCATTCTTCATGGAATCAATATGGATATACGGTAACTGGAGGTGATGGAGACGGTTCGGATTTGAACAAACTTCACAGTCCTAACGCAATCGATATTGATGATGATGGAATAATCTACGTTTGTGATTGTATGAATCATCGTATTATTAGGCGAAGACCAAACTCGACTAGTGATGAACTTGTTGCTGGTGGGAATGGTGAAGGAAAGCGAATCGATCAATTGAATGCACCACTGGATGTTATTGTTGACCAAAAGACAAATTCCCTTATCATTTGCGATTCAAAGAACTACCGAGTGGTAAGATGGTCTCTTCAAAATCAAACGGAACAACAGATAGTTATCGACAAGATTGGTTGTAGAGGTCTTGCAATCGATCAGAATGGAACTATTTATGTTAGTGAATATTACTACAATTTGGCTGTAGTCAAACGATTCGAAGAGGGTCAATTGGCTGGAAAGATCGTAGCTGGTGGAGATGGAATAGGAAATACATCGGGTCAATTGGAAACCCCTACGTATCTCTTTGTCGACCAAAACTATTCAATTTATATATCGGATGCGAAAAATAATCGTATAGTAAAATGGATGAAAGGTGCGAAGGAAGGAATCGTTGTTGGCGGGCCTAAGTTTGGAGGTAATTCTAGACAACTGAGATATAGTCGTGGATTTACTGTGGACTATTTTGGTAATATTTATATAGTCGATTCGTGGAATCATCGAGTAGTACGCTGGTCAAAAGATTTTCAAGGAACGATGGTAGTTGTAGGTGGCTATGGCCCGGGCCGTAATTTATATGAATTAAATAAACCCGAAGATGTAATATTCGATCGCCAGGGAAATCTATATGTCGTCGATAAAGACAACCATCGAGTACAAAAATTTGACGCAGAAGACTGAAGTTTTCATTTTAATAAAAGAATTACTGTGACGATTGATTGTCATGTCATAAGTGCTTTTGCAGATGGATGTTACAGAGACAAACGGATTGACCGAAGCCTAGATCTAGATCGGACTCTTTTAAGAGTTCAGATTCACTAATAGTTTCATATTCAAAGTAGATGCGATTAAAATAAATACAGAGTATAGTATTGAACACTTGTTTCCGCTCCATTTAATGTACTTAGAGAAATCGCTGGGTAGCGAATGCTTGAACCAATGATGTTCCGACATAAAATAACGAACGTTTAGAAATACCCCGTGGTTAGTATTGGCGTCCGTCATTGAGAAGATTCTATTCATACTTTCACATAAAGGGCAATATTTTGGGTCTGGAATCACGGTATGCTGCTGTGTGTAGGAATTTTAGCCAACTTGCTTTTCACAAAGTCAAATCAGAATAAATCGACATGGTTCGGGTGAGAACATTTTTGCATTGTGAAAAACAGAAAATGAATTTAATTTCAGTGTTTTGGATCATTTGCCCAGATAGATAACTGTGATACAGGAGTAAAATTTTTACTTTCTTCGGTTCTTTCAGGATTGTCTCTTATCCTTTTTTCTGCAGGTTACATTGATGACGTTCGCGATACGGATAACGCTTGGGTGAAAGCAGAAGTATTGAATTTTCACTGTGGTCGCAACATGTCGATTCCTGATAAACGAAACCGATGTACGTTTTGATATTTTTTTCTATTGAGATTTATTTCTCATTGTAGGACACTGTCTTTTGGAAATATATGAATCGTAATTCATGTGGTCTTGTCCTACAAACATCAGTTTTAAGTAAAATAGCTCGAATTCATTATGCTTACTTGTTTTCTATTCAAAAAGATTTCATCAAATGGCTACAATTGTATTTTTAGGAACTATTCTAATGATGAACAGAGTCACAGATAAAATACATAATCTACAGCCGTTTCAAGCCAACCGAAAGTGTGGGTGTTGTGAGCTTGCCTTATAGTAATAGCCTAAGACAGTGAGATGTATGCATCTGACACTCTCATTCTCACCCTGAAAATATCGAAATGTGTGTTTTAGTTGCAAGTAAATTTTATTAACAATATGATTTTCACACATTACATGAATTCATTAGTCTATCAGTAATTTATTTATCGTGCGTAACGCATCTAGTGCACTAAATGGCAACGAAATATTGTCTTCATGCTCGTCAATATGTGCCTGGTGTAAATTGATTCGAATATGTATTGCCTGACCGCCACGCATGCGATGTTCTGCTACGATGCGCGTTGCTTCTACACGCACTTTCGCCATCACAGTTCCGCAACCAATTTCCAGAACGGTGAGTGTTCGGTCTGTGGACATTTCTCGAAAGAACGTTTCATGACGTATACGTGCTACTTCAACATTAGAAGTATTCCAATGACCATCGACTGCTAGTGCGGTACATATTCGCGCAGAGCCACCACATTTTATACACAGCGGTGGTGGTCCGAGTAATTGCATTGTATTCAAATTCACCGAGGGCATATTCGTTGTGTCTAGTGGCCATGGATTCGCACCGCAGTTATACATACACTGTGCGTCATACATCGATCCGTGCATTTCGAATACATTGTCAGGTGCAAAACCTGAACATAAGAAATGACGATCCAAGTTTGTTGTTATCACACGTACAGTACGCTTGCGACATTGAGCCCAATTGTAGAGCATCTGATAGCCGACATGTGGTCGTATGTTCATGTATTCACGTTGCCTTGTGACCCAATGTCCCCATGCCAGTGCAGGATTTTGTGTGAACAACGTGTGGTTGGATAAGTCATATATATTCAGACCAATATCTGCTAGACGTGGATGTGCTCGTTGAATGCCACCGTAGTAGTCTGGAATACCAGCATCGACACCCATGCCAGCTCCAGCTGCGATTAATAGTACATCGGCTTTACTCACGCACTCAGCAGCACGAGCTAAGGATTTTTGAGAATTTTGTTGTTGATCACGAATAATAGTCATAGTCAGTTGAATTATTATCAAGATCAGCAAGTTAGCTGAAAACATCAGCTCATGAGAGATATAAGAAGATGCACACAAGGAAAAAAGAGAAAAAGCAAGCGTCAGCATGACGTCAGTGAAACTCATGACGGATAAGCATATCAAGAGTCAGCATTACGATAGCAGTTTTTAACGCAAATACATATGCTATCTATGTTCTCAAAATAGGTCTAATTCATTTACTAGTTAAAGTTTACTCATTATCTAGTGTATATCATATATAGAACAGAAAATAAGGGCACGATGAGAATGCATTTTCTGTTCTGTCTTGATCTCGGTACACACACACACTTTGTTGTGACGTTATCTATGACATGTTACTGAATGGAATAAAAAGCTTTGTCATACATCACATAACCACGTTTTACACATTGATGTAATAGCGGACCGCAGGAAGTGTTCAAAAAACTATTACGAATTATGAGTAAACTCAACAATAAAATTGCACTCATCACTGGTGCTTCCGAAGGTATTGGTTTAGCCATTGCACAACAATTTATTATTGAAGGTATAGAACATATTTTCATTACTGGACGACGACAACAGACACTTGATGAAGCCATAAGAAAGATTGGCAGTACAAATGTAACAGCTATACAAGCTGATGTATCAAATTTAGCTCATCTCGATCATCTGTATGATGTCATTCAAAAACAAAAAGCTCATCTAGATATTATTGTGGCCAATGCAGGCGTCAGTTTACTCTCATCATTGGAAGCAATTACTGAACAACAATTTGATGAAACATTTNGAAGGTTTTGGAATAGATCTAATTACCGTGATGTTTGAATAAACAATATGGATGGTTATAATGAAAATAGAAATTGAAAAGATGAAGCAGTAAAATCGTGTTGCTGTTCGTTCGCGATGAACAGTCTCGGCATCATTTGACCCACTATCGAATATATTTAACATCATTAATTTATCTTTAATCTGAGTGATTTGTTTGATAGCACCACCTCCAATTGTTTCGCTTTCTAAATAAACATAATCAGATTTCAATGGCTAAGTTATTGCAAAAACCCTCGCAACATCTGAAATACTTCTGTAAATCAAACAAAAGAAAATCATCTATTGTAACAATTTTCGTCTAGACTAGATAGAATCAGAGAAGAACTTCAGTCTATAACAAAATATTCGATGGAGTAGTCGCAGTGAAGCATTGATTTTCCTTGAATTCAATCAGATAGATTTTTTTTAGATCACTTACGATGATTTTCTTGCTGTATCATTGGAATTTGTGTTATTCTATTCCGTTTCGCCGTAGCCATAAGTTTTAATATAATCTCGATAATAATTGGAGAAATCATCCGAAGAATAATATTTATTCCTCCAATAAGACTAACAATGAAAGTAATTATATAAATAACATTCATTTTTCTTTCATAAGTAACTGAACAAGACTTCGGCTGACACTTATGATAGAATTGTTCATATGAATAAGAATAGTTCCAATTTTCAACCATCATTTCATCAAAGATTTTTTCTATCAAAGTATCAGAAGAATATCGACTAGGTAATTCTGAATCAAGTGGTTTCACAGAGACAAATTCCGGCATATTTGCAAGTATTCGTAATCGTGTTAAGCAGCCTTTCTTAAACAAGCATATCATTGATGATTTAAATATCGAATCGATAATAGTACAGCTACCGTAGATCCCTTCGATTTGCCAATCAATGTCAGTCAACCAATTGTGTAATCTTATCTGGAAATTCACTGGACACGACCAATCACGAGTACAATGACAATATTGACCTTTCATATCATAAATCTCTGGTGTATATACACCTATAATAACTTCATAGTGTACACTGCTGTTGCTTAGCACTTCTGAACGAAGATCAGCATTAACTCTCATGTTACTAACATAATAATTACTATGCATTGAAACAGTAGTTAAAGACATTTTATAATGAAAATCAGCTCGTGTTGACAGAATTAATAGATTGAGTACTGAATTCATTGTGGAAACAAATGAATGATTTGATAAAAGATGTCTATTGACGAAATTTGTCGTCAAGAAGTGTTGACTTGCGCCATTGATTGTTTCATTTGCAAAGTCACAAAATGTTGCTAGTGTTTGAAAATATGACGAAGCCACTGATAGAAAATGAATTTGTCTTCGTAAGAAACTCGTCGGAGGAAAACGTTCATACCATGATGACTGAATAAAGTCGCTTGAACATATTTGATGGAGTCTCACTTGAAACTCTGTAAAAGATCCATACGGTATCAAAAGTTGAGAGCACGGACAAATCAGTTTTGTCGAATATGTCTCGTACAATTCGGTATATTGTTTGAACGTTGGATTGGAAAATGTTTCGCTGATTGTTTCATTCGATAAGTTAGAAAATAAAATTATTATCAATACGGAAAGTAACAACAAAGTTATATATAGCCATGTAGATAAAACGCCATGATAGACACGAGTTCGATCACGAGAGTGTCGATTATAGATGTTGATATTGACGAGACTTTTTTCGAGTTTTCGAAAAATCTTGCTCAAACGATTTCGACTAATTTCATCTAAAAACATTCGTTTTAGTTAATAACAGTTCATATATTTGGAATAAACGACGGAACTCGTAGTATGCAGTAAACTCAAATCGATCTAGTACCCAATAGTAATTACGTACATCAAGTTCTTCTCCTCAGATTCTTTTGAACAATAAAGGTCTCTACTTTTTTATGAGTGACTATTCATTAAACAAAATTGATGTGCATTATACTGCTATTTGGTGACTCTATTTAACATTGAGTCTACCCTATAGAACAGATTTCTTCTGTCGTCTAAGTTCTTAAGTATTACCTTGAGATTGTCTGACAGCTTGTGCTTGTTTTGAACAAAATCGTTTTTGTAAAGATAGCATTAATTGAATAATATACGGAGTAACGAAACGTAATACTGCAGTTAGACCACCGAAAAGACCAAAAAGAGTGGTTAAAATATAAATTGAATTAAAACGATTTCGCTGAGTATAATGACACAGGCTTGGCTTACACTGCAAGAAATATTTGTCATAATTGATTTTAAAATGAATTTCTTCAACGAAAAGTTTGTTTAGAAGAAATTCGATTTTTGTCGTTTGATTAAAACGTGATGGAATAAACTGATTTAGAACTTTAACATTGATTTGCTTTAAGTAAAATAAAAGAAGGCGATTTAAACACGTTCGATTATAAAAACATTCCAATGTTGACAAAAATGTCGTTTGTATCGGTAAACAATCAACGATTAGACCAGGTAATGTTTCTTTCGATTGTATTCGATTTAAATCATAAACTCCAAGTTTTTGAGATATATTATAAAAATAAATATTGCCAGGTAATGGACATGATACATTATTCTTACATGAGCACGACTTTGTAGAATTGTTTTGTATGAAAATATTTTCAAACACTCCAACATAAGCGGATAAAGACATTGTCGGAAGATGGAATACACCAGCAAATGATTGCGTTGGTTGATATTCTTTCGTTATTGGAATCGAATTTGTTGATAATGCTGTTATCAATTGATTTGCGTGTGCCATTTTATTAACAATAAATATTGACTGAACTATATCTGATGAAATCATTTCAAGCAATGAATGTAATGCTGATTGAATTTTTGCTTCTATGAAATCTTCAGTTAATAATAGTGGACTAATTAGTGCTGATTTACTGAATTGCTTAAGTGTGTCGGTCATTGTTGCTGCCGAGTGTTGACATAAGTTTCGAATTATTTGCCACATTGCGCTTAAACTTGTTCGTACATCAATGGGATAAATTGTGGTTGAGTCCACTTGAAATATAAAGTCAATCCATCGTTGAGATACGAAATCACTTGAACACACTTGATGAAACGATGAATTTGTTACTACAAAATGTTCATAAAGAATTACATATTCAGCGCATGAACATTGTAAACCGTCGGAATGTTTTTTTTGTAGATCTTTATATAGAGAATAACCTGGAAATGAAACAGTTTTAGTTTCATGTCGATTTGTAATGGATATATAAGTTGTCACAATAATAAGAAATGTCAAAAGAAGAATGATATAGAGACGAGTTGATAAGATTTCTCGGTGACGTATGGATGGGTCAGATGATTGTGAATCAAATAGGTTCAATTGAACCCATTTATCACGGACTTTTTTATATAGTAACCTGATACGCATTGTGATTTTTATCTAGAAAAAATTATGATTCATTATGCATCATTACTGTCAGATGATGATTTCAAGTCATCAATCTTACATTGTGAAAATAGTCAAGGAAAAACTACGCATTTAAAGCAGTCGATATACGTTTTCACATTGACGTCAAACAGAACAGATCAAATAAAACATAAACAGATGTGATGTTATTTTCTTGTCACAGTTCAAACTCTTTTGATAAAGAAAAACCTATTCGAAGCTTCATTTGACAGGCTAAGTTATTTAATCGATGCTGAAAAGTGGTATCTTTTAGTCAGAAATTCGAAACTTTTCTATGAAATTTCCGCTCTCTTTCTTCGAAAATAGCTGAGATTCCAGGTGCACTTTCCCTTAAAGAAAAAATCCTGACTTTCATGTTGTCTTTGAGTTATCATAATATAAAATATTGATTAAAACACTTTACATAAAACATTTTCATCATGTTTTGCCTTCACAGAACAAAGGAAGTTACAACCTGTCATGTAATTTACGATATTAACATTAGATTTGTTAGAGAAGATTTCCATTTGTATTTAAACGATCATGCAGTGCAATGACATTTTATAACAACAGAAATTATCTGTAGTATTAGAAAAGTGAATTACACTTTTTCAACTAGCCAGATTGTCTATCTACTTGCACGGCAGTTCATAAAAGATCAGTTGAATTTTCTGCACAGTTTGTTTTTAACAATATCTCGGTCGAGTCATCAATTGATTTCTCCTATTTTTCTAATACATATAGTGTTAGTTTGACGTGATGGATATGGATAGAAATCAAAAGGAAGCACTGTATGTATATCGTAAATTGTAGTAAGAATTATAGAAAAACAATTTGATAATTTTTTTTAATCTAGAAATGAATATGATCGGTTACAAAAAAGGATATGTTTAGTATTTACTACTGTTGCCATTGCCTTGATCATATCAATTATTGCAATTCTTCTGATTCCTGTATTGAAGAATGCTATGAATGTTACTACGTGGACAGTAACCACAGCAACGACAGAAATATCGTTCATGACAACAACGACACAAACGAAAGGTATAGATGTTGTTTTACTTTCAATTTAGTTGCACTGTTGGCTACACAGAAAAACTCTGACTAAATTGCGTAGTGATATTAGTGATTAAATCTTATTATTATGTTAGTAGTTTTATTTGAATGTAAAATATTTGCTTTTGTTTCAGTGCGAGTTCATTCTTCATGGAATCAATATGGATATACGGTAACTGGAGGCGATGGAGACGGTTCGGATTTGAACAAACTTCACAGTCCTAACGCAATCGATATTGATGATGATGGAATAATCTACGTTTGTGACTGTATGAATCATCGTATTATTAGACGAAGACCAAACTCGACAAGTGACGAACTTGTTGCTGGTGGGAATGGTGAAGGAAAGCGAATTGATCAGTTGAATGCACCACTGGATGTTATTGTTGACCAAAAGACAAATTCTCTTATCGTTTGCGATTCAAAGAACTATCGAGTAGTAAGATGGTCTCTTCAAAATCAAACGGAACAACAAATAATTATCGACAAGATTGGTTGTAGAGGTCTTGCAATCCATCAGGATGGAACTATTTATGTTAGTGAATATTACTACAATTTGGCTGTAGTCAAACGATTCCGAAAGGGTGAATTGACTGGAAAAATTGTAGCCGGTGGAAATGGATTAGGAAATAGATCGAATCAACTGGAAACTCCTACGTATCTCTTTGTCGACCAAAACTATTCAATTTATATATCGGATGCGAAAAACAATCGTATAGTAAAATGGATGGAAAATGCGACGGAAGGAATCGTTGTCGGCGGGCCTAATTTTGGAGATAATTCTAGACAACTGCGATATAGTCGTGGATTTACTATGGACAATTTTGGTAATATTTATATAGTCGATTCGTGGAATCATCGAATAGTACGCTGGTCAAAAGATTTTCAAGAAACGATGATAGTTGTAGGTGGCTATGGACCGGGCCCTAATTTATATCAATTAAATAAACCCGAAGATGTAATATTCGATCGCCAGGGAAATCTATATGTCGTCGATAGAGACAACCATCGAGTGCAAAAATTTGACGCAGAAGATTGAAATTTTTATTGTAATAAAAGTATTAATATGACGAATAAAATAACGAACGATTGTATCGTAGCCTTTTTTCTGCAGATTATACATTGATGGTGTTCACAATACGAATAACGCTTGGATGGAAGTAGAAGTATTGAATTTTCACCATGGTCGCAACATGTCGATTCCTGATAAAGGAAACGCTGTATGTTTTGATATTTATTTCTCCTTGTAGAACACGGCCTGCAATTGTATTTTTAGGAACTATTCTAATGATGAACAGAATCAAAGATAAAATACATAATCTACAGCCATTTCAGGCCAACCGAAAGTGTGGGTGTTGTGAGCTTGAGTTAGTAATAGGTTCAGACGGTGAGATGTGTGCATCTGATACTCTCATTCTCACCGTGAAAATATCGAAATCTGTGTTTTAGTTGCAAGTAAATTTTATTAACAATATGATTTTCACACATTACATGAATTCATCAGTCTACCAGTAATTTGTTTATCGTGCGTAACGCATCTAGTGCACTAAATGGCAACGAAATATTGTCTTCATGTTCGTCAATATGTGCCTGATGTAAATTAATTCGAATATGTATCGCCTGACCGCCACGCATGCGATGTTCTGCTACAATGCGTGTTGCTTCTACACGTACTTTGGCCATCACAGTTCCACAGCCAATTTCCAGAACGGTGAGTGTTCGGTCTGTGGACATTTCTCGAAAGAACGTCTCATGACGAGTACGTGCTACTTCAACATTAGAAGTATTCCAATGACCGTCGACTGCTAGTGCGGTACATATACGCGCAGAACCACCACATTTTATGCATAGCGGCGGTGATCCGAGTAATTGCATTGTGTTCAAATTCACCGAAGGCATATTCGTCGTGTCAAGTGGCCATGGGTTCGCACCGCAGTTATACATACACTGTGCGTCATACATCGATCCGTGCATTTCGAATACATCGTCAGGTGCAAAACCCGAACATAAGAAATGACGATCCAAATTTGTTGTTATCACACGTACAGTACGCTTGCGACATTGAGCCCAATTGTAAAGCATCTGATAGCCGACATGTGGCCGTATGTTCATGTATTCACGCTGTCTTGTGACCCAATGCCCCCATGCGAGTGCAGGATTTTGTGCGAATAACGTGTGGTTGGATAAGTCATATATATTCAGACCAATATCTGCTAGACGTGGATGTGCTCGTTGAATGCCACCGTAGTAATCTGGAATACCGGCATCGACGCCCATGCCAGCTCCAGCTGCGATTAATAGTACATCGGCTTTACGCACGCACTCAGCGGCACGATCTATGGGTTTCTGAGAATTTTGCTGTTGACCTCGAATAATAGTCATAGTCAGTTGAATTATTATCAGAATTAGCAAGTTAGCTGAAAACATCAGCTCACGAGGGGTATAAGAAGATGCACACAAATAGAAAAGAGAAAAAGCAAGCGTCAGCATGACGTCAGTGAAACTCATGATCGATAAGCATATCAAGAGTCAGCATTACGAGAGCAGTTTTTAATGCAAATACATATTCTATCTATGCTCTCGAAATAGACCCACTTCATTTACTAGTTAAAGTTTACTCATTATTTAGTGCATATCATATATAGAACAGAAAATAAGGGCACGGTGAGAATGCATTTTCTGTTCTGTCTTGATTTCGGTACACACACACGGTTTGTTGTGACGTTATCTATGACACGTTATTGAATGGAATAAAAAGCTTTGTCATACATCATGTAACCACGTTTTACACATTGATGTAATAGCGGACCGAAGGGAAGTGTTCAAAAGACTATTACGAATTATGAGCAAACTCAACAATAAAATTGCACTCATCACCGGTGCTTCCGAAGGTATTGGTTTAGCCATTGCACAACAATTTATTATTGAAGGTATAGAACATATTTTCATTACTGGACGACGACAACAGACACTTGATGAAGCCATAAAAAAAGATTGGCAGTACAAACGTAACAGCTATACAAGCTGATGTATCAAATTTAGCTCATCTCGGCCATCTATATGATGTTATTCAAGAACAAAAGGGTCATCTAGATATTATTGTGGCAAATGCAGGCGTCAGTTTACTCTCATCATTGGAAGCAATTACTGAACAACAATTTGATGAAACATTTAATATAAATGTAAAAGGAACATTATTCACAATTCAAAAAGTTCTGCCGCTATTAGCTGATGGTGGATCAATCATTCTTATGGGATCAGTCTCTTCTATCAAAGGTCATTCAACTGCTAGTGTCTACAGTGCATCAAAAGCAGCTATTCGATCTTTTGCTCGATGTTGGGCAATGGATTTGAAAGAACGTAAGATTCGGGTGAATACTTTAAGTCCGGGATCGATCGAAACGAGCATGCTGAAAAGTGTGGCTGACTGTGGGGTAGTAAAAGCAAGTTTCATGAACGATCTGATGGCTTCCGTACCAATGCATCGGATGGGCACGGCTGATGAAGTCGCCAAAGCTGCGGTTTTCCTTGCTTCAGATGACAGTAGTTACGTAACAGGCATTGAACTTTTTGTTGATGGCGGGAGAGGACAGATATAAATAAAGTATTTTATTGAAAATGACATAACTGAAAACGATCATCTGGTACATCAAAGTAAATGATCTCTCCTTGCTCTAACACTAAAATACGATCGCTTTTGGCTACCGTATTCAGTCGATGTGCAATCGTTAATATAGTACGATCGCGAAATTTCTCAGCAATTACTTGCTGAATCATTCTATCGGTAGCGTGATCGACATTTGCAGTAGCTTCGTCGATCAACAATATCTTGCTTTTCTTCAAAATGGCTCGTGCTACACAAATCAGTTGACGTTCACCTGCACTCAGATTAGTTCCTGACTCAGCTATAAAAAGATGTAATCCATCAGGATGATTGCGCACCAATTGTCCGAGTAGAACAGCTTCAAGTGCTGCAAGACATTCTTCATCTGAATATTGTTCGAATGGATCAATGTTATAACGAAGTGTACCTGAGAAGAGTATCGGCACTTGTGGAATAACACTCAGATGAGAACGAAGGCGATCTAATGAAAGATGTCTAATATCAATATTGTCAATGAGTATGGTTCCGTTGGTTGACGAATGATCAACAAGTCGAAAGAGTGCTTGAAGAAGTGATGATTTACCGGCTCCTAGACAGAGAACGAATATCGTATGTGTTTATCGAAAATAAAGTAGTCATACCTGTCCTGCCGATGATACCAATCTTTTCTTCAGATTCAATTCGTAAATTTAGACTTTTGAGTATGGGATCCAGCTCTGGGCGGTAGCGAAAACTATAATCTTTGAATTCAATTATACCACGCGAAGGCCAATTATTTTCTAGTTGAGCAAAAGTATTCTTTTCGTTGCTATCTTGCTGACTTTCGGGTATTAGTTCGCCATATTCATGAACACGTTCTGCACTAGTCATGAAATTTTCAGCTTCAGTTGATTGTCGTATGGCCCATTGAAAGAGGCCTGTTAGAGTGATGCAATATGTAATGCTAAGTGCTGCCGACGATGGATCGATTTGATGTCGCAGAGCTACTGCAAGAAGGGAAGTCACCAAGGTGAGCAATGCAGCCGAAAGATCAAGCCGTAAACCAAACCAACGTGCAGTAGCAGAAAGAAGAAAACTAGGTCGCGCATTAGCATCGAGTCTTTCGATAAACATATTTAGAAAATCGTCTTGAATATTGAACGCACGAATACTGGTAAGTCCGTCTAATGACGATGAGAATAATGCATAAATAGGGCTACGTGTTACACTTTCGAGTCGTTTAAGTTGACGACTTGCGTGCATGTAAAACCGACGAAGCCATAGAACTATAGGAACCAACGGAAGAAGAATGAAAAGCACCCACGGATTGGTTTTTCCGATGACTACAATAGAACCAAGAGTCATCAGTAGATATTGCATGGTCTGAATTAGAACTAGAGGCAAAGATTGATCCAGCACTTGTTGGTCTTTACTTGCTCGATTTAAGATTCGTCCACTGGGATTACTTTCGAAGAAACGCAAAGAAGTATACAAAATACCTTTGAGCATTCGGTTATGCAGATAAGTTGAGCCACATAGCATTACATAGAAGATATAACTAGCACGTACTATTGCAACGAATAATGTACTACATATAGCTGCTAAGTAGACGTAAGCATAGAAGGACGATCGTTGTTCTTTGTCATCTTTACTAGACCATATAGCAAGCCAGACATTGGTAAAATCGTATAATGCTCCATTGGCTACCATTAAAAAGATCATCAGAAACAAGCCGAACCAATGTAAAGGTGGTGAAGTAAAAAGTTTGAGCCAAATACTCCATTTGATACCACCGTCTGCTAATGCCTCATTCTTGATAATCGAATTTTTGTCAGTTACAGTAGTATTTAGCTTCCAGTCTACGTGTTCTTTCTCGTCGGATGATTGAATGGTAGATTGTTGTTCGATTTGGACTTCTTCCATATGACCATTCGTCATGACCATCATTTGATCTACCTCAACCAAAAATTGTGTTTGATGAGTAACTAATATTCGAGACTTTCCACGAAGTAGACCGCGTGGGCCAATGCACTGATCGAAAATGTTCTTCGCTACTTTTGGATCAACGGCCGCAAGTGGATCGTCAAGTAAATATAAGTCAGCATCAGCGTAGAGAGCTCGAGCGAGTGATATACGAGCCCGTTGTCCGCCACTTATGCTAACACCCTTGTCACCGATGATCAACAGATCACCAACTTCGCCAAAATTCTCCAGGTCAACGTCAAGACAGCATGCGTTTATTATGCTCTTGTAACGTTGTTCATCCATAGTCTTTCCAAGAAGAATATTAGCTCGAATTGTATCAGCAAATATCCATGGTATTTGTGGAGCGTAAGATATCGAGTTCACGTGTAGACGTAGTTTTCCACTAATAAGATTAATTTCACCGAGAATAGCACTGAACAAAGTCGACTTTCCAGAACCAGTCATACCTTTTACTCCAACTAAGTTGCCATTTTTAATCTGCATATTCAAAGAGAACAAGGAAGGAGCATCCTTCCAAGAGAATGAAGCATCTTCCATTATTATAACATGCTCTTCATTTTCAGCCTTTTCACGTTTTGGTATCAACACGTTGAGCTGCATGAACTGATCGATTCTTCTTGCGGACACACGAGCTTCACTAAATTTTTCAATCAAAGATGGCATGGTAATAGTTACTGGAGCTCGGACTAAGACGAAGAAGGCCAAAGCTGTGAATATATCTTCAGAGAGTAGAGTTCGACCCATTAGCCAACTACCGCCGAACGTAGCAAGAGATATCAAAGGTAACGTTGTAAAGGCAAGGGCAGTATTGAGAGCTCTTAAACAACTGGCTTTGTAAATGCCTGAAAGTTCATGTCGACGTGTTTCGCGTACTCGTTGTTCCATGACTTTTTCCCAATTGTACATTTTAATAATTTGACATCCATTGATAAGTTCATTGATCGTTTGCACGCGCCTATCTGTACATGACATCGTCGTCTTTCGGTATCGACTGAATTGCCTACTGAAAATGAGTTGTGCGGGTATCATTAAAAGTAGCACTGCATAGCCAAATAGTGTCGGTAAACCAATGTACCACCAAAGAAGCGCAAAAGTGATCAGAGCTTCCAGTGGTACTAAGAGGGTGCCATGAATGAATGTACTCAATTCTTCAAATTTGCCAACGTCATTTGCGACTAAGTTTACCAGCTGAGCGGCAGTGGTCTGATAAAGAGCACTGGTGTTGATGGTTAATAAATGTCTGTAGATGGTAGATGACATGGTGTTGCGAATTCGCATACCAACACGATTATTTTGAAAGAAGATTTGTTGAGAAACAATAGCTTGTACAATAGTAGAAATAAAAAGAGCAAACGCTAATAGATATGCCACGTAAACTGGGCATGCTATTCGTCCCTTAATATACAGAATAAGCTGACGAATCAATAATGGTTGTGCGACATGAGCCATGACTAGTGGAAAAACGAGCAGCATACTTATCATATAATCTTTGCCAAATGTTCGTGTTAAAGCATGCCAGGTGCCTTTCCATTGAAACCTGTATGGATTCATTCTGTTCAACAAGACTGAACATTTGTCATTGATAGAAAGATCGTTGAGATCATTTTCCACAAGCGTGTGCTTGTTGCTCAAAGACAGAATCGGGGTTATCCATGCGAAAAAAGGTAATTGTATCCATCTTGTACATGATGATTCCGCCCAATCCAATCGAGATGACTGTCTTTCTTTATCTAGAGTATATCGTCGTCAGAGTGAACTATTGAATAGTGTGAATATCTATGATGTGTACATACTCATGGCAACAAGAACGGGAAAATTGTTTTAATCAGTTTTAGATGATACTTGAAAAAGGTTACATAGTGATACAAGTTATTTTATTTTCAAATATAAAATTTGCCTTGTCATCGGTGGTGAAGCATTTTCTTCTGTTATTTCTTATCATTTTCATCTTTCGTTTACTTTAAATTTGACATCATTCGCATCTTCTTTCAAATTATTTTCGAGAAAAAAATATTCGTTTACATAAGACAAATTAGCAGGCAAAGAAAAGGTCAGTTGAAACAAACATAGTCTTCATAAGATGTTCCGCTTCTTGTTGTGAACTATATTCTTCCAAAGACGCAGTATTAAAAGTGTCTGTATCAGATCAAGTACATGCATTTATGAAAAGTATATATATATATATATAATTGCTACTACCGTATTTATTTGCAATGCTGCAGAAAGGTGTTGTGTACCTTGGGCTCCAATTGGATTAGCAAACAGAATCAGTGCAGTCAGTGTCTATATGAAATTTTATCTATGAATATATTCACTTTCGAAATAATGTTCGGCTAGTACTGTATTCACTCGCAATGCATCAGCAAAGTATTGTGCTCCTCGATCTCCGATTCGATTGTACGAAACATTTAGTATATTTAGTGTCTATCCAAGAGAGAGAGAGAGAGAGTCGGTGAATGTGTGACATATGTCACAAATGAATGGATTTTACTGTGTTTGTTTGTAATGCATCGGCAAGATATTGTGTTCCTTGATTTTCGATTTGGTTCGTGTAGAGATCCAGTATTTTGAGTGTCTTTATGAGATAGAGAACGTTAGATATGCATGGAATAAGAGGAAAATGAGTAAATATGATACTTTGTTCGTTCGCAAAGCCTGACCAAGATGTCGTGCTCCTTCTGGTCCAATATGATTTTCATTGAGGATCAGTTCTGTGAGGGTCTGAGTAAGATAATATATACATACATTTATACATGAAATATAAATGAATAGGAGTACCATGTTTGCTTGTAATGCTTTAGAAAGATGTTGCATACCTTGAGTATCGATGCCAGTTCGTCCAAGATCGAGCGTTGCAAGTGTCTGTATAGGATGAGATTAACGAACATGTGAAAAGTAGGATGAAAATCAATACTTGATTTGTGCTTAATCCATCACTTATGTATTGTACTCCTTCATCAGTGATATAATTCCCACTGATATCTAGAGTGGTCAATGCCTACTCAAGATAAAGTTCGCGAATGTCTCAGATATGCGAAACATAAATGAATACTACGATATTGATTTTTAGCGCATTTCCAATATACTGTGCTGCGCCGAATCCGAACCAACTTCGACCAACATTCAGCGTGGTTAGTGTCTGCATAAGAAGGAATGTGTCAAGTATTTCAATAGTAAGTGAATATTACCATATTGGTTTGTAAAGTATCACCAGTGTACTGTGCTCCTTTATCTTGAATGGTATTGTTCCATAGATTCAATGTTTCGAGCGTCTATGAACAAAACAGGAAAACACGAACTTACGAGCTATGTGACTAGTAAGTAGATACTACCGTGTTCCTTCGTACGCCATTCATAAGGTAAAACACCCCTTGAGCTCCAATATGATTACTGCTGAGATTTAGCATGATAAGTGTCTGTATAATTTAGAGTATATCGCCGTGAAAGATATATGCCTAGTAAATAAATGTTAGTACTTTATTCTCTCGTAGCGCGTCTTCAAGGTAACGCGATCCGCGATTGGAGATTCGATTACAACTTAGATTGAGTGCAGAGAGTGTCTAATATAAGAATAAGTATCGCACATATCAAGAACGAATTGATATTACTATGTTCATCCGTAGAGTATTGCTGAGATATTGTACTCCTATATTTCCAATTTGATTGCTGTGGAGATTCAGCGTGATGAGTGTCTGTGTAAGACAGAGAAGACAAACGATGAGATTCTCAGAAACATGTTTGAATTCTACTGTGTTTTTTTGTAGTGCATCAGCAATATGTTGTATTCCACAATTTGTGATCTTATTCTTTCCGAGATTCAAAGTCAGAAGTGTCTATATAATTAGGACGGAAGACATGTCTGTTTGAAATGTAATTAGATACTACTTTATTTGCTCTTAACGCTTTGCTTATATGTTCTAGCTCTTTGCTTTGGATTTCGTTGTTACAAAGGATCATTTTGGTGATCGTCTGAATGAGATATGTACATGTATACATATAGTATATGCGAACGATAAATAAACAGTACCGTATTCGTTTGTAAAGCATTTGCAAGATATTGTGCTCCCTGTACTCCAATTTGGTTACCTGTAAGATCTAATATCNCCACCATCAGCTAATAGTGGAAGAACTTTTTGAATGGCGGGAGGGGACAGATATAAATAAAATGTTTTATTGAAAATGACATAACTGAAAACGATCATCCGGTACATCAAAGTAAATGATCTCTCCGTGCTCTAACACTAAAATACGATCGCTTTTGGCTACCGTATTCAGCCGATGTGCAATCGTTAATATAGTACGATCGCGAAATTTCTCAGCAATTACCTGCTGAATCATTCTATCGGTAGCGTGATCGACATTTGCAGTAGCTTCGTCGATCAGCAATATTTTGCTTTTCTTCAAAATGGCTCGTGCTACGCAAATCAGTTGACGTTCACCTGCACTCAAATTAGTTCCTGATTCACTTATAAAAAGATGTACTCCATCGGGATGATTGCGCACCAATTGTCTGAGTTGAACAGCTTCGAGTGCTGCAAGACATTCTTCATCTGAATATTGTTCAAATGGATCAATGTTATAACGAAGTGTACCCGAAAAGAGTATCGGCACTTGTGGAATGACACTCAGATGAGAACGAAGGTGATCTAATGAAATATGTCTAATATCAATATTGTCAATGAGTATGATTCCGTTGGTTGACGAATGATCAACAAGTCGAAAGAGTGCTTGAAGAAGTGATGATTTACCGGCTCCTAGACAGAGAGCGAATATCGCACGTGTTTATCGAAAATAAAGTAGTCATACCTGTCCTACCGATGACACCAATCTTTTCTTCAGATTTAATTCGTAAACTTAGACTTTTGAGTACGGGATCCAGTTCTGGACGGTAGCGAAAACTATAATTTTTGAATTCAATCATACCACGCGAAGGCCAATCATTTTCCAGTTGAGCAAAAGTATTCTTTTCGTTGCTATCTTGGTGACTTTCGGGTGTTAGTTCACCATATTCATGAACACGTTCTGCACTAGTCATGAAATTTTCAGCTTCAGTTGATTGTCGTATGGCCCATTGAAAGAGGCCTGTTAGAGTGATACAATATGTAATACTAAGTGCTGCCGACGATGGATCGATTTGATGCCGCAGAGCTACTGCAAGAAGAGAAGTCACCAAGGTAAGTAATGCAGCCGAAAGATCAAGACGTAAACCAAACCAACGTGCAGTAGCAGAAAGAAGAAAATTAGGTCGTGCATTAGCATCAAGTCTTTCAATAAACATATTTAGAAAATCGTCTTGAATATTAAATGCACGGATACTGGTAAGTCCGTCTAATGACGATGAAAATAATGCGTAAATAGGGCTACGTGTTACACTTTCGAGTCGTTTAAGTTGACGACTTGCATACATGTAAAACCGACGAAGCCATAGAACCATAGGAACCAACGGAAGAAGAATGAAAAGCACCCACGGATTAGTTTTTCCGATGACTACAATAGAACCAAGAGTCATCAGTAGATATTGCATGGTCTGAATTAGAACTAGAGGCAAAGATTGATCCAGCACCTGTTGGTCTTTACTTGCTCGATTTAAGATTCGTCCGCTGGGATTACTTTCGAAGAAACGCAAAGAAGTATATAAAATACCTTTGAGCATTCGGTTATGCAGATAAGTTGAGCCACATAGCATCACATAGAAGATATAACTAGCACGTACTATTGCAACGAATAATGTACTACATATAGCCGCTAAGTAGACGTAAGCATAGAAGGACGATCGTTGTTCTTTGTCATCTTTACTAGACCATATAGCAAGCCAGACATTTGCAAAATCGTATAATGCTGCATTGGCTACCATTAAAAAGATCATCAGAATCAAGCCGAACCAATGTAAAGGTGGTGAAGTAAAAAGTTTGAGCCAAATACTCCACTTGATACCACCGTCCGCTAATGCTTCATTCTTGATAATCGAATTTTTGTCAGTTACAGTAGTACTTAGCTTCCAATCTGCGTGTTCTTTCTCGTCGGATGATTGAATGGTAGATTGTTGTTCGATTTGGACTTCTTCCATATGACCATTCGTCATGACGGACTTACCAGTATCCGTGCATTTAATATTCAAGACGATTTTCTAAATATGTTTATTGAAAGACTTGATGCTAATGCACGACCTAATTTTCTTCTTTCTGCTACTGCACGTTGGTTTGGTTTACGTCTNCAGCGAACAACGTCGATTTTCCAGAACCAGTCATACCTTTTACTCCAACTAAGTTACCATTTTTAATCTTCATATTCAAAGAGAACAAGGAAGGAGCATCCTTCCAAGAGAATGAAGCATCTTCCATTATTATAACATGCTCTTCATTTTCAGCTTTTTCACGCTTTGGTATCAACACGTTGAGCTGCATGAACTGATCGATTCTTCTTGCGGACACACGAGATTCACTAAATTTTTCAATCAAAGATGGCATGGTAATTGTTACTGGAGCTCGGACTAAGACAAAGAAGGCCAAAGCTGTGAATATATCTTCAGACAGTAGAGTTCGACCCATTAACCAACTACCGCCGAACGTAGCAAGAGATATCAAAGGTAACGTTGTAAAGGCAAGGGCAGTATTGAGAGCTCTTAAACAACTGGCTTTGTAAATGTGTGAAAGTTCATGTTGACGTGTTTCGCGTACTCGTTGTTCCATGGCTTTTTCCCAATTGTACATTTTAATAATTTGACATCCATTGATAAGTTCATTGATCGTTTGCACGCGCCTGTCTGTACATGACATCGTTGTCTTTCGGTATCGACTGAATTGCCTGCTGAAAATGAGTTGTATGGGTATCATTAAGAGTAGTACTGAATAGCCAAATAGTGTTGGTAAACCAATGTACCACCAAAGAAAAGCAAAAGTGATCAGAGCTTCCAGTGGTACTAAGAGGATGCCATGAACGAATGTGCTTAATTCTTCAAATTTGCCAACGTCATTTGCGACTAAGTTTACCAGTTGAGCAGCAGTGGTCTGATAAAGAGCACTGATGTTGATGGTTAGTAAATGTCTGTAGATGGTAGATGACATGGTGTTGCGAATTCGCATACCAACACGACTATTTTGAAAGAAGATCTGTTGAGAAACAATAGCTTGTATAATAGTAGAAATAAACAGTGCAAACGCTAATAGATACGCCATGTACACTTGGTATGCTATTCGCCCCTTAATATATAGAATAAGCTGACGAATCAACAATGGTTGTGCGACATGAGCCATGACCAGTGGAAAAACGAGCAGTATACTTATCATATAATCTTTGCCAAATGTTCGTGTTAAAGCATGCCATGTGCCTTTCCATTGAAAGCTGTATGGACTCATTCTGTTCAATAAGACTGAACATTTGTCATTGATAGAAAGATCGTTGAGATCATTCTCCACAAGCGTGTGCTTGTTGCTCAAAGACAGAATCGGTGTTATCCATGCGAAAAAGGGTAATTGTATCCATCTTGTATATGATGATTCCACCCAATCCAATCGAGATGATTGCCTTTCTTTATCTAGAGTATATCGTCGTCAGAGTGAACTATTGAATAGTGTGGATAACTATGATGTGTACATACTCATGACAAGAAGAACAGGACAATTGATTTAATCAGTTTTAAATGATACTTGAAAAAGGTTACATAGTGATACGAGTTGTTTTATTTTCAAATATAAAATTTGCTTTGTCATCGGTGGTGAAGCATTTTCTTCTGTTATTTCTTATCATTTTCATCTGTCGTTTACTTTAGATTTGACATCATTCGCATCTTCTTTCAAATTATTTGCGAGAAAAATAATATTCGTTTACATAAGATAAATTAGCAGGTAAAGAAAAGGTCAGTTGAAACAAACATAGTCTTCATAATATGTTCCGCTTTTTGTTGTGAACTATATTCTTCCAAAGACGCAGTATTAAAAGTGTCTGTATCAGATCAAGTACATGCATTTATGAAAAGTATATATATAATTACTACTACCGTATTTATTTGCAATGCAGCAGAAAGATGTTGTGTACCTGGGGCTCCAATTGGATTAGCCGACAGAATCAGTGCAGTCAGTGTCTATATGAAATTTTATCTATGAATATATTCACTTTCGAAATAATGTTCGGATAGTACTGTATTCACTCGCAATGCATCAGCGAAGTATTGTGCTCCTCGATCTCCGATTCGATTATACGAAACATTTAGTATATTTAGTGTCTATGCAAGAGAGAGAGAGAGTCGGTGAATATGTGACATATGTCACAAATGAATGAATTTTACTGTGTTTGCTTGTAGTGCATCGGCAAGATATTGTGTTCCTTGATTTTCGATTTGGTTCCTGTAGAGATCCAGTATTTTGAGTGTCTTTATGAGATAGAGAACGTGTATATGCATGGGATAAGAGAAAAATGAGTAAATATGATACTTTGTTGGTTCGCAAAACCTGACCAAGATGTCGTGCTCCTTCTGGTCCAATATGATTTTCATTGAGGATCAGTTCTGTGAGGGTCTGAGTAAGATAATATATATATATATATACATTTATACATGAAATGTAAATGAATATGAATACCATGTTCGCCTGTAATGCTTCAGAAAGATGTTGTGCACCTAGAGTATCGATGTCATTTCGTGCAAGATCGAGTGTTGCAAGTGTCTGTATAAGATGAGACCAACGAATATGTGAAAAACAGAATGAGAATCCATACCTGGTTTGTGCTTAATCCATCACTGATGTGTTGTATTCCTTCATCAGTGACATAATTCCCACTGATATCTAGTGTGGTCAATGCCTACTCAAGATAAAGTCCGTGAATGTCTCAGATATGCGAAACATAAATAAATACTACCATATTGGTTTTTAGTGCATTTCCAATATACTGTGCTGCGCCGAACCCGAACCAATTTCGACCAACATTTAGCGTGGTCAGCGTCTGCATAAGAAGGAACGTGTCAAGTATTTTAATAGTAAGTGAATATTACCATGTTGATTTGTAAAGTATTACCAATGTACTGTGCTCCTTTATCCTGAATGGTATTGTTCCATAGATTCAATGTTTCGAGCGTCTATGAACAAAACAGGAAAACACGCACTTACGAGCTATGTGACTAGTAAGTAGATACTACCGTGTTCCTTCGTACGCCATTCATAAGGTAAAACACCCCTTGAGCTCCAATATGATTACTGCTAAGATTTAGCATGATAAGTGTCTGTATTATTTAGAGTATATCGCCGTGAAAGATATATGCCTAGTAAATAAATGTTAGTACTTTATTCTCTCGTAGCGCGTCTTCAAGGTAACGCGATCCGCGATTGGAGATTCGATTGCAACTTAGATTGAGTGCAGAGAGTGTCTGATATAAAAATAAGTATCGCATATATCAACAACGAATTGATACTACTATGTTCATCCGTAGAGCATTACTGAGATATTGTACTCCTATATTTCCAATTTGATTGCTGTGGAGATTCAGCGTGGTGAGTGTCTGTGTAAGACAGAGAACACAAACGATGAGATTCTCAGAAACATGTTTGAATTCTACTGTGTTTTTTTGTAGTGCATCAGCAATATTTTGTATTCCACAATTTCTGATCTTATTCTTTCCGAGATCCAAAGTCAGAAGTGTCTATATAATTAGGACGGAAGACATGTCTGTTTAAAATGTAGTTAGATACTACTTTATTTGTTCTTAATGCTTTGCTTATATGTTCTAGCTCTTTGCTTTCGATTTCGTTGTTACAAAGGTTCACTTTGGTGATCGTCTGAATGAGATGTATACATGTATACATATAGTATATGCGAACGATAAATTAACAGTACCGTATTCATTTGTAAAGCATTTGCAAGATATTGTGCTCCCTGTACTCCAATTTGGTTACCTGTAAGATCTAATATCGTAAGTGTCTGTATCGAAAAATATAAATGATAAAAACATTTCGAGAATGTATAACAGACTCACTAGATACCGAGGGTAAGTATGAAGAATTTGATTGAGTCGTTGGCAAACATCGTTCATAGAACACAACAGAGTAAAATCACTTTCATGATCGAAAATTCGATAAACGAGCTCTACAGGTAACGTAACTAATGTGCGCATATTTTTTTCTCGATGTATTGAAAGAATATTGAAGTATGTATATATATGCAATTATCGGCGGGCCAGAGGGGGGGGGGGGGGCAATTGCTCCCCCCCTCTTATGTTTTTGCCGGTCCGCCGATGTATGCAATTCACTAGTAGATGTAATTTTATTTGCTCTCACAGCAAGTATTCGATGATATTGCGTTGAAAGACACGAAATTTTAGTAGCTAGAACATAGCTTCCCTTTCGAATAGAAAAACAACACGAGGATTGCTTTTTTGATTTAGTAATTAGATTTTTCGAAATGTTCTCGGAGTTCAAAAAATACGCCTGCATTATCAATTAAATATTTTGTTTTCTTTCCTCTTTTTTTTGGTGATATATATAACCGAACGAAATTCGACATCTTTATTCGTAATTGAATTGACCATCACATGTAAAGTACAAAAGAACGTAAAATGTGTTCATGACGACACGATGCCATTGCACACACCTGCGAGTCATTCGTAGAATAAAATGATAAATGTATATACTGACTATTTCAAATATATATTCCTTAAAAATCGAGTTTAAAGAATTTAGCCATCAGGAGTAATCGAAGAGAGATTATATGGATAATCGCAAAGACTACCGTATCTATCTAAACATATGAACGGAATATTATATCTTTGAAATAAAACACCAATACAGAATTGTTCAAGTGGAGATAAGATTTGAGAATCAATATATATATTAGTGAGTGTGTTGGTTCCGTGAGTATGCTGACTTAATGAATGATAAAGGCCAACGAACGTGCTTTTGGTGTCCTTAAGAGTAAAATCGTTGGCTTTTGTTGCGATCTTGAATTGTTTACCAAAATCTTTTTCATTTAATAATTTCTCCAATCGTTTTTTGACGGGTAAGCTTTTCTTTGGCGAACACTTTGTTTTCATCTTATTTTCGCGAATGAAGTCCATTGCACCGCGTAAATGGAATCGATTGGTGACTTTAAGATAGTCTATGGTTAACATTCGAATTCGGTTTAGACGCTGATGGCCTATTTCGGAATGTGCGCGTTCCATTCTCCTTGCTAGTTCGACTGAATAATTAGTAAACTGACTGCATATGTCAATTAGATATCTTGCAAATACATGCGAATGAGCACAGCACACTTCTGGCGGATCAGGCACATGAATTTTTAACTTTAGCAGTGGATCACGCCAAGTACTTGCTGATAACGCACACATATGCAGTACAGGATGACTACGAGCGACTGCCGATGACCAAAGAAGTAATTGCTGACAACGAAACATCATTGAGATAATACCAATGCAAATACTTTCGTCTATTGTTCTTTAAAATCGAAGTTATTTACCTAAATCATAACCTGCTTTCTAAAAATGACACACATTTTATATTACAAATTTATACGACTACTTTGACTTAACCATGAAAAGTTAGAAGTGTATAAGAAATGCAAACCATACTATTTATATCATATGGAAAACAATACTTTTCACATTGAAATGTCAACATGATTAGAACTGGATTCTGATTGGTAAAGAATAAACAAATAATTATGAATTCAAGTTGAAGAAAAAGATTAACAATAGAGGTTTACTCTTCGATAGCCTACAGTGAAACAATTAAGACTGTCTTGTAGAGAAAACACATTTTTAGTATCATACCTCTGAAAATGAAAATAATCAGATCTTTCAATAAAATTTATAAAATGAGAAAAATATTGAGCGGAATATGAGAGAAGAAATGATTCTTATATAAAACATTTTTAGTCGAATGCAATCATTAAAAAGAGTTTATTGAATATATCGCAGAAAGAAAGAAGATCATTTAGTCTCAATCGATTCCAAAAAGAATTTCCTTGAGGATTTTTTTCAACAATTTCTATCGACGCTTTTTTAATGATTCCATAGAAACGTGAGAAATGTAATTTTCTTTATCGTCCTTTCTTGCTTGAATGAGCATTTGCCAATAAAGTACTACTGTTTGAAGTGTTAACAAATTCATTTTGCCTTAGCAACGCTAAACTTTAAAAAACAATCTCCAAAAACGATCATAATTAAGTGACTATTGTTGACTAAAAGACAGAAATATATGTCTCTCGATAAATTAAAAAAACACATTCTATCGTATTTTATAACAAAACTGTAAGATCGATCGCACCACATTGATTTCACTAAAATGGTGGGAAAAACATTCAGATAATGATTCGATCACGAAATAATCATAAAAGTCCTCCGTGTAACAAACAAGGTGCAGATAAAGCAAATTTAGGGCATCATTTGTTTTCTTACATCTACTGATAGGACTTTCAGCGTTGGCCACAAATGTCAGCTTATTAGCCTGTGCCAAACTTTTCTGTCGGTCGAAAAACTCGAATTACTTACGAGAAAATCTTCCAGGAAAAGTGAATCCTTTCATCGGAGTTCAAAAATGTTCGGTTGCATCAGGCATTTTCGGTTCTTAAAACTAATTTTACTTAATTCAGTATCATACACTGCATGTAACAGCATCTTTAGATCGATTACAAACTGAAAGTTCAGCTAACGGGGACAAAGGTGAGAGTGTGGGTGTTGGAGACAGCTAGTAGGAAAACCCATATCCAGATTCTAGACCTGATAATCTTAATCGAAACACATTGTTTCAAAACTGTTAATCTTGAAAACACAAGTGGAAATAACCCATAGCTTGATTTGTATATCTGGTTAAGATATAGACAAAAAGACATTTAACCCTTTGGTTACGCGATTTTTTTACAGATGCATCTTTTATTTTCCGTTCTGAAATAGTTTATAATGAGTTTCAACAGCACATGAAAGTGCTCAAAAGTGTTTTAAGGTATGCTGATCTTCAAAACAACCTATCACACAAAGTCCACCGTCACAAATATCACACTTATAACATGTTTTTTTTTATGCTTCTTGTCACGTCTACTTGTGCAACTGCAAACTATACAGTCTCGTTGTGGACTTTCTTGTGTTGCTGTTGCTGGAACAAGCGATGGGAAATGACGATCAGTAAGACGTACGGGATTATCACTGGGTAATAGGACGACCACTTTTAGGTCTCGGTTGAGAATACCTTTCGGTCAATTGTCGAATAAGTTCGCTTCGAAAATCTCCAAAACCAACAGACTTTTTACACTTCCTTTTGAATAACATATATGCGTTGCATGTTGATAAATCCAACAGACGAAAGAAGAATTTTTTATACCACTTAATAGTTTTTCGTAAGCATTCTACAAAATTGATTTGCATGTCAATTTTATCCACTGACACCATGTTTTTGTTGTAATGTACGATGCCTTCCGGTTTCTCAACTATTTGTTGTGTCTTCCAATCACTTTTGTGTTTCTATCATCCTCGGCTTGTGAATTGTACATAGCACAAGGACTTCTCGTTTATCTTGCCACTTCAAAAACATTAGATTATTGCTGTTGCTGTAGTCAAAATCACCTTTTGTGAGCTTGTCTACTTTGACTGAACCAATACGGTTTCGACGTACAGTACCACATGCACCAGCCTTGAGTTATATAATTTTTCAAATATACGAGGACCGGTGTACCAGTTATCGAGAACAAGTGAGTGTCTCTTTTTCAAATAGGGTTCCATCAAAGTCATTACTATGGAACCAGATTTTCCCAAAGTTTGGTCTAGATTAATATTCATAGATGAACCAGTGTACACGATGAAATCCAACACTACTCCTGTTTAACAGTCGCAAATCAAGAACACTTTTATGCCAAATCGACGCCGTTTACTTGGTATATACTATTTGAATCCCAATCGCCCTTTTTAAAGAATGAGCGATTCCTCGTTGAAATGTAAGTATTTCAAAAGCAACAGAAATCTGTCTCTAGAAAATAATTGACCAAACATAGGTGTAATAATCATTGGATCAGTCGACCAGCAATCAGAAATCTTATTCTTTTTAGTTGGAGACATGAGCATAATTGTAACCAAGAAAGTATATATTTCAGAGCGATTTGTTTCTGTCCATTTTACTTGATGGGAACATGTTGAGGATGTAGAATTTTTGTTAGAAAAACCTTTGTTGGTTTCTTCAACAATTAAATCAAGCATTGTTGCATTGAACAATAATTGAAAAACATCAAGAGGTGTAACATCTTTCATAGCGCCTATGTTCGGTGAAAGACCAGCATTTGTTTCATCAAGGGAGAAGAGATGTGGCTTGAATGCAGTTTTCGTCCAAATTCGATTAGTAGATTGTTGTTTCGATGATCCTATTTCATCATCCGATTCACTACTGTCCACATCTGATGAATAAACTGAATCAATTTCCATAGTAGAATCGCCTTCAGATTCGCTATCCATTTGAATTTCATGTGGATCGTTAGTTGTGCACGTTGCCATATTCAGAAAAAATTCTTTTGTAATAGATATCAATGATAAACTGCTTGTATATAGCGTTATGTCGAATAATGAGAATTTCGATTCTGTGGGAATATATATCCAAAGATACGAGGTGCTTCAAGTATGGAATCGAAACTTTATTTATGTGAGAGGGTTTTTCGAAAGATAAACGAAAAAGAATACGTCAGAATTTACTAGAACGTGTTAGAATATCAGACGTCGATATTAGTGGCGGAGCCAGGATTTTATAGGGTACTGGATCTCCGCTCCAGAGCATGGGTTCCACTTAAAACTAATGGAGGATAATATTGGTGACAAATGATGAGTTTCTATCGAGTAATTTTTT